AAGGGCACGCATACGCAAGGAGACCGACCGAGACACACCGATGGTGAAGGAGTGGGGAAAAAACCATGGAAGTGCTGCTCGGGGGAGCAAGCTAGCGAAATGAATGGGGGAGAGAGTGAGAGGGTCATGAAAATTAAGGGGGGACAGGCCGAGGAGGAGGACGAACATGAGGATCATGATTGCAAGAGGAGAGAGAGAGAGAGAGCGACAGAGAGAGAGAGAGATAGCGAGATGCACGTGTATATATATATATATATACATACATACATATCTATATATATGTACACACACCTACGTAGAACTTACACACCGGACTCTATATACATACATACAATTATGTCTAAGAAAGTTGGTCACGTTAAATATATTTATATATATATACAAGTGCGCATGCATTTGCAAATACGTATGTGCACACATATACATCTACACATTCATACGCATTCATTTCTACACGCACACCTACACATACATGTACATATCCGGCTGCATATACATCTACAGATAACTATACATGTGCGTGTACATCTGTGTCTATTCATACATATGCGCATAAACGTGTACACTGGTGTGGATTTGCTCATGCATCTACATCTGCACATGAAAATACATACATGTATACTGTGATAAATAGTTTTGTACATTTGCGTATACATATATATATATATATACACACATATATATATGTATATATATACATATATGTATGTACGTGTATGTATATATATATATATATATATGGTAGCCCCCCCCCCCCACACACGGGGACCCCATCTTCACAAATGCAAGCCCGAGAGCTTTAAACGAAGAAGTTCGTTCATATGTTGATGTAGATGTTGACCATATGCTCTTGCAAAAACGTTTGCAAAAAAACACTAGGAAAACCGAACAATCCAAAAAAAGGAAATCCATGCAATCAAGAATAATAATAACGAGTACAATCAAAAAACGATAAGGAATATTACAATGGAAAACAATAAGAAAACCTTACACTGGAAAACAATCAGAAAACCTTACACTGGAAACAAATCAGAAACCTTACGCTGGAAAACAATAAGAAAACCTTACAATGGAAAACATAAAAGAAAACCTTACAATGGAAACCAATAAGAAAACGTCTTGGGCACACGAAACGCTGGCAGGGACTGAAACAACCAAACAAAAAAAACAAACAAACAAAAAAACACTGGCAGGGACTGAAAAATCAAAGGCTTCGGGCCCTCCGCCGAGATCCGCCCAACAATGGGAAACAATAAGAAAACCTTACATTGGAAAACAATCAGAAAACCTTACACTGGAAAAGAATAAGAGAACCTTACAATGGAAAACAATAAGACAACCTTACAATGGAAAACAACAAGGAGACCTTAAAATGGAAAACACGAAGAAAACCTTGCAATGGAAAACAATCAGAAAACCTTACAATGGAAAACAATAAGAAAACCTTACAATGGAAAACGATAAGAAAACGTCTCGGGTACGCGAAACGCTGGCAGGAAAGCCAAAAATCAAAGGTCTCGGCCCTCCGCCGAGATCCGCCCAACAATGGAAAACAATCAGAAACCTTACAATGGAACACAATATGAAAACCTTACGGTGGAAAACAATAAGAAAACCTTACAATGGAAAACAATAAGGAAACCTTACAGTGGAAAACAATAAGAAAACCGTACAATGGAAAACAATCAGAAAACCTCACAATGGAAACCAATAAGAAAACGTATTGGGTACACGAAACGCTGGCAGGGACTTTTTTTGTTTTGAAAAAAAGGGAAAAACGCTGGCAGGGACTGAAAAAAAAACAAGAATCAAAGGTTTCGGGCGGAACTGGACGAGAAATGAAATCCATACCGGGCCCCCTCCGCCGAGATCCGCCCGAAACGTTTGATTTTTGTTTTTTGTTTCGGTCCCTGCCAGCGTTTTTTTTTTTGGGGGGGGGGTTCCAGTCCCTGCCAGCGTTTCGTGTACCCAAGACGTTTTCTTCTTGTTTTCCATTGTAAGGTTTTCTTATTGCTTTCCATTGTAAGGTTTTCTTATTGTTTTCAATTGTAAGGTTTTCTTATTGTTTTCTATTGTGAAGTTTTCTTATTGTTTTCCATTGTGAGGTTTTCTTCCGCGCATGCCGGCACCTGCGCGGTTGTTTGGAGGGCGTGACGGCCGCGGTCGAGTCTGACATGCTGCGCCATCGGGTGAGGTCCGCCCAGTGGGCCTACTGGATGCGGGGTCGCGATTTGTGGCAGGCCACAGGGGACATGATCTCGAAGCTCGTGTGATAGGTGCTGCGCTGCAGCACGCGGGGAGCTATTCGGGGGCCCTGGGTATTTCGATTCGCGCGAGTTGCGCCGCGGGCAGTCCATACAGAGGGCTGCCAGTGCGATCATACATGCACTTGGGGAGTGTGCAATGTGTCTCTTCGGCTCCAGAATGAAAAAGATGATTGTCCTATATATATATATTTCTCGCTATGTCTTCTACTTTACCATATTAAGATGGGGTCCCCGTAGGGGGGGTAGCATATATATATATATATATATATATATATATATATACATGCAATCATACACATACATATACATACATATACACATATACATATACAGTTAGACATCTCTACATGTTCATATACATCAGACGGCCCCCTTGTGGGGCCACCAAGCTGCGGGGATTAGGCTTGCTGCTGCCTGCGCTGGTTCCAGCCTCGGGTTTCCCAAACTCTAATCCTACTTCCTACTTCCTACTGTAAATGGTTGAAGTCCGCGCGAGTGGGGGGAGCCGAAACGCGTTCGGTTACCTTCCCCTGGGGGTGTGGGGTCCCAGGGGAGGTCCCGCCTTCAGGGTCGGCGGCGTCGGCGGCGCTGGCCGCAAGGCCCTCACAAGCACAGATGTTTGCCTCTCGGGGCACTCGTCTGGGGGGCGCGGCTTGGAAGCCTTCGGGGGCCGTTCACAAGCCATCTGCGGCGCTCTCAGGGTGTGATGGGCGGGTCTGGTAAACTGTCGTACCCATTTTGGGGCCATCTGGGCGCCCACAGAGCCACCTTGGAGGCCAAAAGGGCGCTCGTGGGGCCCCTGGGGCTGCCAAGCGCCACCGTGGCCCTGGTCCCAGGGCCGACCGCGGCCTACCCCGATGTCTGTCTGTCTGTCTGTCTGTCTCTGTCTGTCTGCCTGTCTCTGTCTGTCTGTCTGTCTGTCTGTCTGTCTGTCTGTCTGTCTGTCTGTCTGTCTCTGTCTGTCTGTCTGTCTGTCTGTCTGTCTGTCTGTCTGTCTGTCTGTCTGTCTGTCTGTCTGTCTGTCTGTCTGTCTGTTTCTGTACGCATACATGTATGTACGTACGTACGTATGTCTGTATGTATGTGTGTATGCATGTATGCATGCATGTATGCATGCATGCGTGTACATGCATAGATACATGCATGTATGTATATATATATATATATATATTAACTATAATATATACAAGGGTATGGGCCCAAGTAGGCCTAGATAAGCCTAGCCAAGGGTCAGTCTAGGTAGGCCGAGGGTAACCTTGAGTAAACCTGAGGAAGACTCAGCGTAGGCTTGAATAGCCCTATCCGAAGGCAAACCTGAGAAAACCGTGGGCGCGCGTAAATCGTCATAGGACCTAAACCTGACCCGAATTAAGCCATACCCGGCCGAAGGAGCTTCAGGGTATGCCCAAGGTAAGAACACTGCATGGTAGACCCAGGCTGTTAAACAACACTGTATGGTTATATTGCAATGAGTGTAGAGGCAATTGGTTAGTGGGTGTTAATGAGGGGGCGGAAGCAATTGACTAATGAACATTGTGTTGGTGACGGCAACTGTTGGTAACGGCAACTGTTGAGTAGGATCGTGATCAAACGTGAAGGGTTCTGCGTTGGACACAAATATTATTGGATAGTGGGTGTTGCGTTGAAGACGGAAACTCTTGATTCAGATGATGCTCTTAGGTTACACTGGGGGTGGAGGCCGATGGGCGTTCAACGTTGTGTCGGAGACGGAGGCCGCCGAAAATTGGGCGCCGCATTGGAAACGGAGGCTGCTTTGTACTGGCTGTTGCGTTCACGGTGAAGGCTGTTGAGCATGAGTGCACTATTGAATTGCATACGGAATGGAGGCATTTGAATATTGGATGTTCTTGGAGGGGAGGCTTAATGAATGTTGGGCATTGTGATAGTGACGGAGGCTATTGGGTACGACTGCGCCGTGAAATTACAATGGAGGTTGAGGCTGATGGGTATTTGGCGTTGCGTTGGAGAGGGAGGATGTTGAATGTTGGGTGTTGCGTTGGAGACGAAGGCTGTTGAGTAAAAATGAATGTTCAAGTTACGCTCGGGGTGGAGCTTGTTGATTTGGAGACGGAGGCTGTTACGCATTGCGTGATGCGGTGGGAGCGGAGGCTGTTGAGTAATGGGTGCTGTGGTGGAGACGGAAGCTGTTGAGTGGGATGGTAGTTACGCTTCGGGTGGAGGATACATACACGAGAACGGCCTGTGGGGTTCCCCGGAACGCCTGAAGACGAAGCCTGTATTTGAAGACCCAGGCTGTCACATAACATTGTATGGTTAAAGTGCAATGAGGGTGGAGGAAACTGATTTTTGGGTGTTGCTCAGGAGACGGAAGCATTTGATTATTGAATGTTGTGTTGCTGACGGCAATGGTTGACTAGGATTATGGTCAAACGTTACGCGTGGGGTGGGAACTGTTGAATTTGTGGGTGCTACGTTGGAAACAAAAACTCTTGGATATTGGGCGTTGCTTTGGAGACGGAAGCTCTTGAACCAGATGGTGCTCTTACGTTACACTGGGGGTGGAGGCCGATGGGCATTCAACGTTGTCGGAGACGGAGGCCGCCGAAATGGGCGCCGCATTGAAAATGGAGGCTGCTTTGTACTGGGTGTTGGGTTCAAGGCGGGGGCTGTTGAGCATGAGTGATTTTTTGAAATCATGTAATGGAGGCATTTCAATATTGGGTGTTGTTGGAGGCGGGGATTCATGAGTGTTGGGTATTGTGTTGGTGACAGAGGCTATGGCTAACTATTGGGTGCGATTGTGTCGTGAAATTGAAGTGAAAGTGGAAGCTGGTGGGTGTTTGGCGTTGTGTTGGAGATGGATGATGTTGAATGGTGGGCGTTGCGTTGGAGACGAAGGCTGTTGAGCAACATTGAACTTTCAAGTTACACTCGGGGTGGGGCCTGTTGAACTGGAGACGGAGGATGCGCTAGGAACGGAGGCTGTTGAGTAATGGGTGCTGTGGTGGAGACGGAAGAATTATGTATAAAGAAATGGAGGAGGAGGACAAGGAGGAGGAGGAGGAAGAGGAGGAGCAGGAGTAGCAGAAGGAGGAGGAGGACAAGGAGGAGGAGGAGGAGGAGGAGTGAGGAGGAGTGAGGAGTGAGGAGTGTTCAGTGAGGAACGAGGAGGAGAGGAAGGGCAGGGAGGGGGGAGGATGAGGAATGAGGATCGAGGAGCGAGGAGGAGGACTGAGGAGTCCGTCCGCCGTCTGCCGTCCTGCATCCTCCTCCGGCCTCCTACGGAGAACGACGGACGGCGGACGGACTCCTCACTCCTCCCCCTCCTCCTCCTGCTGCTCCTCCTCCTCCTCCTCCTCCTCCAGGCCAGCTGGACACTGAACAACCAAGAAGCAAAAACATGCAAATTCACATGAAAACAAAGAAACCAAAGACCCAGGACCCAGGACCGAAACACCAACAAACACATAGGCAGTAACCAAACCAAACAGATGGCAGCACTTTCCCTGCGAGGGCGGCGGGGATGGGCTAAGTATTGAAATCTTTGGTTGCCTCGATTCTGCAGTCGAGGACCCCATTTTTACCCGGCGGTTTCTCCTCGACTTCGGGGCCCGTTGGCGGGCCCGGGGGAGGCCTCAGAAACGCGGACGAAAAGCCACCCCCGGGGGGAAGGGGCCGGGACCAGCTGCGGGCCGCTCCCGGGCGGCGCGAAACGGTGCTCGGTCGTGGCCTCGGCGATGGCATGCAGGCCGGCGCGCTGACAGCAGGAGCGCAGCGTCAGGAACGATCGGGGCCCTTCCTGGCCACGGCGGGCCCTCGGCCACGAACACTCCCCGAGCAGTGCTTGCACCGACGGGGTCCTCTGCGGAAGTCGACAGATTTGGCGAGAACGTCCCGCCGATTTTGGTGGCCGGCTGGGTTCCCAGGTTCCCAGGTTCCCGGGTTCCCGGGTTCCTGGTGGTTGGTTCCGGGCCGATTTCGGCAGGTTCCCTGGTAGACAGCCGAAAGCAAGAATAGACACTTTTAGAAATTCTGAGCTTCCCGTTGAGGCGCCGTGCACACAGTATCTATCAGTATCTATTTTTTAAAAATAGACGCTTTTAGAAATTATCGTGCTCCCGCTGAGGCCGGCTGGGTTCCCGGGTTCCCCGTTCTGGGTTCCCAGGGTCCCGCTTGTTGGTTCCGGGCCGATTTCGGTGGGTTCCGGGTCCCCGGGCTCCCGGTCGATCTCCTTACCGATCAACCCATCCATTGATTGGGTCTTCTCTCTGGTGCAATATAGGTTCCCCCGGGGCCCCACTGGACCTGAGGAGCGGCCCGCAAGCCAGAGCCCCGCCTGAGCCCGAAGTGGTCCTTGTTTCAGCGCCTTGGCTGTGCGTAGGTCGGTAAAGCTCGATCGGGGTGCAGCAACGCAAAACTTGGCGGGAAGGCTTCCTAGAAGGAGGTTGCTTCTTGGCGGGCGCCGGTCCTGCATCTACAAACAAGGCCCGCGCAGGGGTGCTTCTAAGAAGCCCTCCCCCCCTCCCCCTGCCCCCCACCCCTTGTGCGCGCCGCCCCCCAAAAAAGCAAGGAAGTCCTCCCCCCTCTCCCCCATATCCCCCCCTGTGCGCGCCGCCCCCAAAAAAGCAAGGTGGCACTGCTGCGGGGGAAAGGCGGGAATAAGATCTGGAATGTGAGGAAGGGAGGAGGAGGGGGAGGAGGAGGGGGAGGAGGAGGAGGAGGAGGAGGAGGAGCATGATGATGATGAGCATGATGATGATGCTGATGATGATGCTGCTGATGATGCTGCTGCTGCTGATGATGATGTGGTATGATGATGATAATGATGATGATGATGATGATGATGATGATGATGATGATGATGGAGGAGGAGGAGGAGGAGGAGGCGGAGGAGGAGGAGGTGGAGGAGGAGAGGAGGCGGAGAGGAATGTGGGGCGATGTCTCTTCAACACGAAGACCCAACACCACAGGAGGATTGGAAACAAAAATCGCACCGCTGCGGGGGAAATGAACAGAGCGGCCGCGGAAGTGAGGGGGAGGCGCACGGTACACTCAGACCAGGAGGGGCTGGGCTGCCTGCAGGTGCTGCGGCCTACCAGGCTCCAGGGAGGAGTCGTGCGCAGGGTCGAAAAGTGCGCCAGATCTTGGGCAAGAGCGGCGGACAGAAGGGCGTGAGCGGGGAGGGGAAAACGAGGACGACGAGGAGGACGAGGGGGAAGAAGCGGATCCTGGGCATGCCCGTCACCCTGCGGACTCCGTTCCGCGGCGCCGCCCGGGCTGCAGGCCACCAATGCCTCAGCGCGGAGGAGGACGAGGTGGAAGAGGAGGGTAAGAAGGACGAGGAAGATAAGAAGGACGAGGAGGGCGAGGAAGATAAGGAGACAGAGGAGGACGAGGAGGAGGACGAGGAGGGAAAGAAGGAATTGGGGGATAAGGAAACAGAGGAGGACGAGGAGGGAAAAAAGAACGAGGAGGATGACGAGCTCTTCCTTGTCGCACCTCCAGACGTGTCAGCAGGCCGAGCGCTTCGCGTGAGACCTCCCTCCGAGGTAAAGCCAGACATCTTCTGGCAGTCATGTGGATGGAGCGCCAGTGGTTCTCAAAACGGGGCGTTCGCCCTTGCGCTGCGAGCTCTCGTCTAAAAAGCTTGCCACAAGTGCTCGGCTGGAGGGCGACTCGTTATCAAAACGGGATCGCCTTAGCGCCGCGCGCACTCGACCTGATAGTCTCAAGAGGCCGGCTCGTTTTCAATATCGGTTTCTCGTTTGACCCCTCCTTAAAAATACTGCCACACATGTAAGATTGTGTCGCAACTATGCAGATGGAGGGCGGCTATTTTTCCGAATGGGTTACTCGTCTGAGACTTCACGATATTTGTATGACTGGGACTTCCAGCCGCGCAGTAGCTATACGGGTGCAGGACGTTTTGTTTTAAAAGCGGGGATGTCTGGTATCTCATTGAATTTTCAGTTCTAAGCCCCACTTTATCGCAACCCGTACGTCTTGAAAAATGGAGAGCGGTTTCCTTCAAGACGGAACTAATGATAAGGGGCTTGGGAGGCAAGGATGTGATGCAGCATCTTGTGTTGGAGGTTTGTAATGAGACCGAGAAAAAACGGAGGCCCCGAACCTGGAAATCCCCTGTGGTGTCGGTTGGTGTCGTGCGTGACGCGGGTGCGGGTCAGCCGAAACACTCCTCCTCCTCCTCCTCCTCCTCCTCCTCCTCCTCCTCCTCCTCCTCCTCCTCCTCCTCCTCCTCCTCCTCCTCCTCCTACCCCCCTCCTGGTTGTCCCGTGGATGCCCCGTGGTTGTCCCACGGTTGTCTCCCGGTTGCCCCGTGGTTTCCCCGGGGTTCTTCGGCGCGAGCGCGCGGACTGACACGAACTCCGTGGCGCTTGCTGCACCTCCGGCCCGCCTGAAGCGATGCGACCCTGAGGCTGCCATCGCTCGGACGTCCATCCCACGTGCACTGTTCGGCTTCTTTTCCTCTCGCAGGATGACCCAAAGTGCTCCTCCATGGCCCTCACCGAGAAAAGCTGCACACGTCCAAGCAATGCCAACCCAGACATCCTGCTGCTCCAACTTTTTTGGCGCGTGGACCCAGGAGGTCTTCCCTGGGACCGGTCTTTCGTCCCTGGAGTCGTTCTTTGACGCCCCCGTCGCGAGGGCCGGGCGAGGGCCCCTGGAGGCCGAACGCGGCCAAAATCCCGCCGCTCCAATGTTTTGGGGAGCGTCGGATCTCCGGGAAGCAGAGGGGGGAGGGGGTTAGAGAGCCCACGAAGGACGTACGCGCCCAGCTAAGTATATGAACACGGCCCCTTGACCCGCGAGACCGGCCGCGTGATACGCGTATTCCCGCAGTGCGAAATCTCGAAAACAGCGCGGATTCATGTACGTGTGCGTCCTTCTTTCGCTCCTGAGGGGTGCAGCTCTTCGCCGCCAGGCGACGAGCTGGCCGGCCCGCGGCGGCGAGGCGCGGGCCCGGGCAGGCGAGGCCCGCCACCGGGCCTCGGGCGCCGCAGGCAGAGCGGCCAGCAGGCCGCGCCGCTGTGCTCGAGCGCAGTGCACCTCCCCCAGGGAGCAGAGGGCCGCCTGCGCCCCTCGAAGAGGAGAAAGCGCCACAGACATAAAAACGTTTGGCGCTCCGCGCGGGTGTCTGGCGCGCGCGCGCGCCCCTTTGTGCTCGCTCGAGAAAGCTATGAATTGAGACATCGGTGCCAACTTCCCCAACGTTTCTGAAGACAGACCTGGGCCACGTGCTCGTGTTGACGCCTGAAGGGCGAGTGAGCTCAAGGAACTGGGCCAGCCTTACAGCAAGCTGGTCAAGAAACGCGGGCCTAGCTTTTCGGGGGGAGGTTTCCTAATCATATGCTCGACCGTATTGCAGGTGCGGCGCTGAACAACAGCCAGCCGCATCGTGCAAGACTCTTGACCATCAACAAGGCCCGTAGCGAGCTTCCTGACCATCAACAAGGCTTTGCCACACCAGGGGCCAAGGCCACGAAGTCTTAAAGGTTAGACGCCGAGGACAGCAGGCGACCGACTTTCCTTTCAGAGACAGGGTTGCCAAATCAAGGTGGACTTCCAGACGTTGGAGAGTTCCATCGGGGAGCTGGTCCAGACAGTGGATCACGACACAATGTCCACAAAGGCTGCACACCCAGGGGAGTCGTCGCTGCGGCAAGCACTCGGCGAAGCAAAATCCCACGCCCGATCTGCAATGACACCGCCTGCCAAGTTGTCGGCACTATGGCAAGTGCGCAGGATCCGCCGGACAATCCAACGGAGCAGACGGCGAACCAAATTGGGGGCGTTGCAAAAGACTTCAGGGCATGCCGTGACGTCCCCAACAGTTTTCGACATCAACGGGCAGGAGTGCACCGACAGGAAGATTTGGCTAACATCTTTGACGGATTTTGGGGCGGATCGTTTTGGACACCCGGCCAATACACCACAAAACCAAATGTCACGATTGGAAGCGTACCTCAAAATCGAGCACAATAGACATATTGATGGACTACTTCCTCCACCACTGGGTTTGTACGATGTGTTATCGGCACGGGCTTCCTTGAAGACAGGCAAAGGGGTGGGTGCAGACGGAGTGCCAAGTGAAGTCTATCATGCTCTACCATGGGTCAGCTTGCTGCACGGTGTACCACCTCTTCAAACAACGTCTTCGATGTTTGCCTGCTGGTGAGCCCCCCGAGTGGCACATTCTACAATTTTTGGGTTTACCGCAGTCTGCCGCGACACGGACATTCGAAGACCTCAGGTGGATCTGCAAATCGCCCGTGATGCAAAAGTGGTATCTTAAATCACTCCAGCCGAATCTCCGGAGAGAAATCCGACCATCATGGGTGCACTCGTATGGCTTCAAGCCAACTTGCCGCACTACAGACGTGATCGGCCTCACCCGCCAGCTGTTGTTTTTATCCTGGGTCTGGGAGCGGCCTCTGCTGACAGCCCTCCAGGACGACAAGACCGCCTTCAACAGCATGCGGCACGAATACGTCGGGGAGTCGATGCTCACCCGCGGCGCCAACCCTGGTACCATTGTTGCACACCTTCGGGAGCTAACAAGCTTACAGGCTTGTATCAGTCTGCCCGGGGTCGGCGAGACAAACAAGGAGCCGTCGAGACACCAGATGAATGGAACATCATGGTCGATTTCTTACTCGAGCCACTGGTACTTTCTTGGACCGCGCGCACGTTTGGTTTCCAGGTCGAAGTTACAGGGGTAGATGCACAATACATCCATCATGCTATTTGGTGCGACAACATCATACTGTATGCCTCCGAAACCTCCTCCCTCTCGATTATGATACACAAGCTGACGACAAGCTTCGCGGAACATGATCTCCACTGGAAGCCGAGCTCACTTGAGATAGTGGCATCCGGCAGTTTTGCAGGCCGTATGGCAGCATGTTTCTGCGTCCCCGTGGGAGGCAACGCGGGCGTGCTCAAGTACAGCGTGGTGGATGAGACGGTCTTGCTGGGGAATTTGTTGGACGCGCGAGGGTCTTCAACATCCAGTTTCCAGCACAGGCAAAATTGCGCCACCAGGTTACTCTTCAAGCATGAGTCTCTGCTGCGGGCCCCAGGGCCAGTCGCGCTGAGGTTGCAGGCTTGGGCTGGAACTTGCGGGTTGTCTGCGCTGCATGGTCGTGAGACTTGGCATGCCACGCGCTCAATCTTACACGATATGCAGACATGGGAGCTGAAGTATTTGCGAATCATGTTTCGGATGCGGCCGCGGCCGGACAAGGGCAGGATGCATTACAATACTCGTACGACAGAGAAGTTGCGATAATGGTTTCGATTTAACAGAGTTGATTTCTGCACGCGCAAATTTCTCAGAAATGTCTACAGGTCAGCCTGGCGCGAACAACGAGCACACCTCGGACACAGCCAGGCTCCGCTGAAGTGGGCCCGGGAGTATCGGTCCCAAGCTGAATGGCAGGCAGTTTTGGGAGTTAGCTCACAGCACGAACGTCGTCAACACGGTTGGGCGCACAGCTCGTCAGGGCATAAACCTGCGTGGGAGGGTGCACTCTGCGCGGTGCTCGGCCCACACTGGAGGTCTGATCTCCGCGAGTGCACTTCACAGAGTGCATGGATGGACGGTTGCGGGCAGTTCATCGACGCAACGTGCAATTTTTACCACATCCGGCCGCCGACCAGGGCCGCGAGCAGTCCCACCGGCGCACTCTTGAGCGTGAAGCTTCCAGTGGCCTTCGAGACGTACCCGCCGCTGCCCCCGCACCCGGACGATCCTGCTTGGGATAGTTTGGAGCGCCGCGTGTGGTTGCAAGTGGACTGCAAAAGCGACGCTGATATTTGCAATGGCGTATCTGTTCTGAAGGCGCCTCACTTGGAACCTATATTCTGCCGCATCGTGCAGAACTTGTATGATATCTCTACTCGCGGCTGGCTTCCCAAACGAGATGTCGACCCACTGCTTATCTGGAGCCCGCGGGAATTCAATATCCCTGCAGATCATCTTGTGAACGCAGCAATGGACACAGATATTGGTTGGATCTGGCGAGACGAAGCGCTGCTGAAGGCGGCGGGCAACCATGCAATCAACATTTGCATCGGCGGAGGGTTGTGCAGGCAAGATGGCGGAAAACATAGAAGCGGCTTCGGCTTCGCAGCGTATGCGCGAATGCCAGATGGATCCCATCACCCATTTCTTCTTGCAGCGCGTCTTGTACACGGACCCTGTCACAGTGTTCTTTTCTTTAGGCAAGCATTCGTAAGCACCCTGTAGCAACGTCATCGGTTTCCGACCCTTGGGGTCTGCACGACGAGCCGCGCATTCGTCTCGCCCCCTCTCCCGCTCTCTCGCCGCCGCCGCTGCTGCTGCTGCCCCCGTTGTCTTTTCCTCTCCACTGCGTTGCCGAGTAGAGCGCTAGGGATCGCTAGGGCGGGCCCGTGCCAAAACGAAAGCCCCTTCGAGGGCCCCCAGATGTCGACCATCGTCAAAAACCGGCCGCTCATGTTTTTGTCGAAGTCTCGGATCTCTGGTCTTGCCAGGAGGAGGAGGAGGCGGCGGAGGAGGAAGAGAAGGAGGAGGAGGAAGAGGACGAGGAGGAGGAGGAGGAGGAGGACGAGGAGGAGGAGGAGGAGGTCTTCGGATCTCTGGACTCGCACCCCGTGCGCGCTCAATCGCGACTGCGGCGCCACAGCGCCAACGGAGGAACGACAGGCAACGAGCACGCTTCGGGCGCGACGCGCACGCACGGCGGGGAGCACGCGCGCGGCCCAGCGCCTCACCCGCCGCTCGCCCCGCCTCGCCCCCAGTAAAAACTCGTACCTCCTCCTCGTCGTCGTCGTCCTCCTCCTCCTCCTCCTCTTTCTCCTCCTCCTCCTCCTCCTCCTCTTTCTCCTCCTCCTCCTCCTCTCCCCTCCTCCCCTCCTCCTCGTCCTCTTCCTCCTCCTCTTTTCTCCTCTCCTCCTTTTCCTCCTCTTTCTCCTCCTCCCCCTCATCGTTCTCCTCCTCCTCCTCCTCCTCCTCCGCCTCCTCCTCCTCCTCCGTTCCTTTTCCTTATACATAACTTCTCCCTGTCGCACCCCGAAGCCAGTTTTTAGGCCAAGCTGGGCGTTTCGCCTGAGACTTCCTCACCACTTATGACTCTGAAGCTTAAAGCTTGGCAATAGTTTCACACATGGAAGGCGGGTCGTTTTCAAGATGTGGCTCTCGCCTTAGCGCGGCGCACATGCGTTTCAAAAGTTGTAAGAGCTTCACGGATTGAGGGCGGATCGTTTTCAAAATGTGGCTCTCGCCTTAACGTCGCGCACATTCGTTTAGCACATTTGCAAGAGTTTCACGGATTGAAGGCGGTTCCTTTTCAAAATGTGGTTTTCGCCTTCGCGCCGCGCACGTTCGCCTCCAAAAACTGCAAGGAAGTTTCATGGACTCCCATCATCAACGAACCAAACATTGCGTTTTGGAAGGATTCAGGATGATGCGGGTGCAACAATTACATTGGCTCTCTGTGTTGAAATCCTAGGAGTGGCGTTCTGGTGTGATTCCAGAGCGTCAAGACGCAACAGTCAGGTTGATCCGTGGCGTTGCAATCCCTAGAACAATGTTTTGGCATGCTTCAGGGTCTTCAAACGGGTGTGTTCCAACGAAGCAGTTCCATCAATGGAAATGAACCGCTATAGGGGCCTATGAAGAGGGAGCTTGGAGGGAGGGTCTACTCCAACATCGTTGATGACTCTTGGGTTTACACTGGTCCTCCTCCTCCTTTTCCTCTTCCTCCTCCTCCTCCTCCTCGTCCTCCTCAGTCTCCCTTTCGCCTCGTTTCCCCTCCCTTCTCTTGCCCCGCCCTCCATTCCCACTCCCATTTGCACCCCTGCTCCCTCCGTCCCGCCTCCGGAGTCTCCTGCTCCCTATTCCCCGCTCCCATCTGCCGCCTCACTTTTCTTGACCAAGCCGCGGGAGCGAGCGCTCGAGGCGTCTGCCGCCTTACTCCTGCCCCCTCTTCCCCATTCCCGTTTGCGGCTCGCCTCCGCGAGTTCCCTCTCCGCGCCCGCGACGCGGCGCGAGCGCGCGCGCGCGCCCGCCGCTGCGGCCGCGGAGGCCCTCTGGCACCACCGGAGGACCTTGTTTCCGTTCTGGAAGGGGGGGAGGGGGAGCCTGGCAAGCCCTTGAATCCCGAGGCACAAGCAGAAAGCGAAGAAGGGAAGAAAGCGAGAGAGAGAGAGAGAGAGATTAGGGGCACGGTCCACTAATCAGTCGTAGTCGTAGTAGTAGCCCCTGCAGCTCGTTGCCTGGCGCGGTCGGGACATCGATCCGGTAGTTCATGGCAATGTTGGTACCGCTGCTACCTCCTGGTCGTCGCTCTCGCTGGGACCGTTGCCATGTAGCCTCTTCCGCTCCGCCGTTGCCCTGGGTTGCGGTCTATCTTCTCCAGCCTCCTTCGTCTCGTTCGTATCGATGTAACCGCATGCTAGCCAAACAAAGTAGCGTCCCCTGTCGGAACGAGTAGCCTGATCATTTGCTCGGCGCCGACGAATCTCTCGGTGACATCGCGCATGTCGGCCGGCACCACGATGTCGTGATCTGAAAACGTACTGCCCCTCGTTGTCCTGGCTCGGCCGTCCCCACTGCGTCGCGTTGTAGTGGTAGGAAGTGCCGCTGGCGGCGTCAAGCGCGGTAGGCCAGCCATCAGCTGGCTGCTCTTGAAACTGTGTCTGCTGCTCTCGCAGCTCCGCCGGGGGCCCCCGTAGCCCAGGCGCCTGCCCTCGGAGCTCTACTTCGGCCGTAGCTCCTCCTCCTCCTCCTCCTCCTCCTCCTCTTCCTCCTCCTCCTCCTCCTCCTCCTCCTCCTCCTCCTCCTCCTCCTCCTCCTCCTCCTCTGCTGGTGGCCCTCGTAGCTCCTGGGGTGGTTCGCGCCGCTCTGCCTACTGCCGCCGCGGCTCTGCTCGGGGCCCTCGCAGCTCTGCCCCGTGGCTCTCGCAAGCTCCGCCGGTGGCCCTCGTCGCTCCGCCGGTGGCCTCTGCAGCTGCGCTGGTGGCCCCCGCAGGTCTGCGGGTGGCCCTCGCAGCTCTCTTTCCTGCCATCGTAGCTGCGCTGGTGGCCCTTTGCAGCCTGGCGGTTCTCGAAGCTTTGCTTCTTGCCGTCGTAGCTCCTCCGCTGGCCCTCGTGGCTCGGCTGGCGGCTCTCGAGCCGGTGGTTCGCGCAGCTTTGCTGGTGGCCCGCGGGGGTCCGCTTCTGGCCGTCGTAGCTCTACTGGCGGCCCTCGTGGCTGAGCTGGTGTCTCTCGCAGCTCGTGCCCCTCGAGGCTCAGCTGGTGGCCTTGAAGCCTTGCTGGTGGCCCTCGGAGCTCTGCCTCTCGCCGGTGCTGCTGTGCAGCCGGCCCTCCAAGCTCCGCTGGTGGCTCTCGAAGCCGTCCTGCTTGCCGTCGTAGCTCTGCTGGTGGCCCTCAGAGCTCTCCCTCCCCGCCGTCGTAGGGCTGCTGGCGGCAGGGCGAAGGGGCCCTGAGCGCTGTCTCGACCAGTGCTCTCGGGTGGATCCAGCAGGGGCGGCGGTGCAGGGATCCTGGGCGACGCCACCCGAAGGGCTGTGTCGGGGGGGCCGCCGAGGGGACCCCCCAAGAGGGGTATCCATCTCGCTGTTCCTTTTTGGGGGGCTGAGGCTCGGGTCTGCTCCTGGACGGAGCGCCCAAAAGGGCAGGGCCCTGCGGCCCTTCGCAGTTGCACCTGCTCGTGCAGGTTGGTGTCCGTAGAATGTCTGAAGGGGCGAATCCATATCGTAGTCATGTGTGCTCCGCTTGCGGCTGAATTCCTGGTCGTGCTGGTCGTGCTCGCGGTTGTTGCCAGTGCCGCACGGGAAGTCGCAGTGGATTCGCGCCGGTACCTCTATGACTCGATGACGATGTACTTCGCATCTGGCGCAGGAGACTCTGAAGCTGTAGTCACGAGCCCCGGTCTTCTGCCACTGGGTGCCTGAGCGTTGAGCTTCACCTCAGTGCACTCCGCCGTCGTGGGATCATCTTCCGTGGCGTACTTGGCGTCGTCCTTGCCAATCCGCATTCACGCGTCGCCACCATTGCGACTCCGTTGAGGCATCGCCGTAGGAGTCTATTTCGCAGGCTCGTCTGCTGAAGGTGAGGGGCTGCCCTGACGTTGGGCAGCCCACCGATGCTATGGCAGCGCCCCCTGACCTCGGCCGTGGTGAGGGACTGGGGCTGGCCGGCCAGGCGCGCGGGGCGCGCGCGGGGGCAACTGCGGGGGATGGATCCCGCATATGGCCCTCCCCTTTCCCCCTCCGTCTCCTCCTCCTCCTCCTCCTCCTCCTCCTCCTCCTCCTCTTCCCCTCCTCCTCCTCCTCCTCCTCCTCCTCCCTCCTCCTCCTCCTCCTTCTCATCCTCCTCCTCCTCCTCCTCCTCCTCCTCCTCCTCCTCCTCCTCCTCCTCCTCCCCCTTCCATCCATCGTTCCTTTCTTCCTTCCTCCCACCTCCGCTAACTCCTTCCACCTCTCACCTCCTACCTCACCCTTTCTCGCTCCTCTGTCTCCTTCCTACCTCCCCCCTATAGGCTCTTCTCTCAACAATGCCCTCCCTCCACATCCTCCCTCTCCCTCCTCCTTACCGCTTCCTCCCCTCCTCCTCCTCCTCCTCCTCCTCCTCCTCCTCCTCCTCCTCCTCTCCTCCTCCTCCTCCCCCTCCTCCTCCTCCTCCCCCTCCTCCTCCTGCTCCTCCTCCTCCTCCTCCTGCTCCTCCTCCTCCTCCTCCCTCCTCATGCACGCTTCCTCCCTGCACCTCGCCCCTTCTGCCTCCTCCTTGCCCCACCACACCCTTTGGCCAGACCGCGCCTCGTACCAACCGCCGCCCACCCGCCGGCGCTTGTTCTGCGACGGCGGCGGCGAAGACGCCGGGACCCGGCCGCCCTGGGGGCTGCCCACGACCGCGCTGGCGCCTGGGCGGGCAGCGGCGGGGGCCAGCGCGAGGCAGCGGCGGAGAGGAGGGGGCTCTTGGCCGCTTTCGGGAGTCATCGCCGACTCTCCGCAGCTTGCCGCCTCGGGAAGCCTCCCAGCGGCTGCGACTCGCCGAGAGCGTGCGGGGGGGGGTCCCAAGCGGCCGCCAGAGACTCGACGTATAGATGGCCCGGACACCTATAGCCTCCTCGGGCTGCGGCACAAATCCGCCGATCCGGCGTGTGAGTTTCAAGGAGTCTCAGCTACAGCCTCGAGGCTGAGCCTCAGCCTCTGGGGGGGTTGCCGGGGTGGCTCTGCCGGGGAAGGGGGGATGGGGGGGGGGGGGTGCGAGTTTCCGGCGGATGCGGGGGGGCTGCTTTTACAGAAGGCTCTAATCTCGAGGATGCGCTACAAGGGTGGCCGCGGCCGCAAAAGTCTCTTAGGACGGTCTACGAAAGTCCCGAGACCCCGAAAGATCGCCCGAACACGCCCAAGATGGCCCCAAGACGGCCCAAGAGCCTTCCAAGACGTCTGAAGAGGCCTCCAAGAGGCCTCCCACGAGGGCCCCCAGAGGCAAACATCTTTGATTTCCATTGTTTTTTTACATGTTTTTGGGGTTGTCGCTTTTTTCGGCTTTCCGACGCTCCAAGACGGCCCAAGAGGCCCCCAAGACCGCTCGAAGACGGCCCAGGAGGCCCCCAGACAGTCCCAAGACGGCCCAAGAGGGCCCCAAGGCGGCCCAAAAGCTACCCAAGACGGCCCAAGAGGCCCCCAAGACAGCCCCAAGAGGACCCAAAAGAGGGACGAAAAGCGGAAAAAATCTAGCCTTCCAGCCCACGAGGCCCCCAGGAGGCCCCAAGAGCCCCCAAGAGGGCCCCCAAAAGCCCCCAAGAAGCCCCCTCGACGCCCTGACAGGCTCCTGTGCGAGTGTCTGTGTGTGGTGCGTGTCTGCGAATGTCTGTGCGTGCTAGTGTCTGGCGTGCGCCTAGTGTGTCTCTGTATGTGTGTCTGCCGTATGTGCATTTGGTCGTGTGCGTGCGTGAGGTGTCCGCGTAATATGTGTATCCGAGCGACCCAGATCGGCGGCACTGGCCGAAGGCCACTACAATCACGACGGAAGGTTGCTCCAAATCTTGGGCTCGAGGGGCCTTCACTGGTGAGGGGCAAGATAGGGGGGGGACTAGCATATGGGGGAAAACATCGACCTGTAATCGCCGATACATCGCCGATGGGCCCCCCATAGCGAACCTGCACGGTCCTGGGCAGGGTTGGGCTCTTCGCTACTCGGCGATCAGTGGGCGATTGGGGGTCGATGCGTTCCCGCACATGCCCCTATCCCCCCCCCCCTCCTTGCCCCTGACCCACGCAGTCCTCCCGTCTGCAAAGCCATGTGGCACCGGCGCTCGAGCGCGCCCCGCCGTCGCCCCCGCTGCAGGGACGCCGCTCGGCCGCTGGAGCAGAAGTGCGTGCGCGCGCCTCCTGGATCCCACCCGCAGCGACGGCACGGCGGTGCGTGATGGGGCCAGCACGGGGGCCCCCGCAGAGCGCTCTCGACGCCCCCGAACTGGGCCTCGGCCCCGTCGAGAACCGACCCGCGGGACGCACCAAGACCGGCCCCGGGCAAGGAGGAGCCCCGAACTCCGGGCGCCCCGCGCTGCTCACCAACAAGAGCCTTGGGCGGCGCGGCCCAAAGAGCGGCGGTGGACAAGCCTCCCTCTAGTAATCTACCCTTTTAGTGAAAACGGCCCAGGACCGAAACCGACGGACCCTTGCCCGCAAAACTGACGGCCGCGGCGCCCTCTCGCGAACCGAACACGGCCAGCTCGCGAATCGACGCATCACGGCAGGAGGTCGATCAGCCTCCGACAGAGACGGGCCCCTATGAGGCCGAGATCGACGAAAACCCTGGGAGTGGAAAGCCGTCCTTGGCAGCCCGGCCCGCTGCCCTGACCAGGCCCTCTGGGGCCCTTCCGCAGCTCTAGCCCTCGAGCCCTGGAGCCCCGCGCGTGGGCTCGAGGCCGGCGGCCGTGGAGCGCCAGCACAGGGGCCGCGGGGCAGGCGCCGAGGCGCGCGGGCAGAGGGGAGGGGGCCACACGCGAGCCCTGCGCCCCTGGCCCTGCCCCCGTTGCTCCTCCTCCTCCTCCTCCTCCTCCTCCTCCTCCTCCTCCTCCTCTTTCTCCTCCCCCTCCTCCTCCCGATTTCTGAGGGGGAGGGGGGGGGGGTCACGGTTCACTTCGCTCGGGAGCTCCCGAACGCAGTGAACCCCAGCCTCCCCTTCAGAAATCGTGGGGGGGCAGGGGTAGGGTTCGCACGTGGCCCCCCAAGAGGGGAGGGGGCGAGGCGAGCGAGCGCGGGCCTGGTCCACAGGGCCCTCCTGCGCCAGAAGCGAGTCCACGTACGCTTCAGAACAAAAGAAACAACGTGCCCTGAGATCTGGCGTGCGGAAAGCTGCGGCATCGCCAAACAAAGAAACTCGGCCGGAGCCCGAGGACCCCATCTCTCTGCGCATCGATGCGTGAGGGCCCTGGGGCTGGAAGCCAGGCGAAGGCGCCAGGCGTGGCGCCACAACATGCAGCGCCCCGACCTGGGGGTCCTCGGATCGGCGGCGCGAGCCCAGGGGGGAAGTGCGAAGGGGCGGGCCTCCTCGGAAGGCTCGGAAGTCCCCCGGCCTTCTGAGAACTTCTCGAATCGGGGGCGCGCAAACATGGATGAGCGACCCATGGATTTGGCGCGCGGTCGCCAAATCCACGGATCGGGGGAAGTGCCCTCCCTCCCCAAAATGCGACAGGTGCCGCCTCGCTCGGCGGCGGGAATCCGCGATTTCCCATACAAACGGGACCCCACGCCCCCTTGACCAATGTTTGCGGTCGCCTGATCTAAGCCTTCCCCGAAGACACAGAAAACCTTACAGAAGGCTAGAGGCCTTCCGAGAAGAGCAATGCCTCCTTCTAAGAAAGCCTCCTCCTTCTCACTTCCCCCCCCCCTCGGGCGCGCCGCCTAGGATCGGTCAAAATCGGTCCACGGACCCCTCCCGGGGTCCATCCGACGCGGTTTTCAACCCCGGATCGAGGTTCGGGGGCCCCGGGGCCCGAAAACGGCCCCCAGAGGCCGAAAACAATGAGAAACCGCCTCGAACCTCGAACTTCGAAGTTCGAACCCTCGGCGTTCCCCTCGCTCCCCGCCGATCGTCGGAAGCTGCGCCGCCGCTGCGCCGCCGCCGCACCGGCCGCGGCGCAGAGGCCCGGCTCGCAGGCGCAGTGCGGGCACGCCGCCCGCGTGCGCAGCCGAGCTGCCACGCGCCCGCGGGGCGCGGAAGGCGCGTGCACCCGCGCGGGCGCGGAGGGCACAGAAGGGGAGGCGGGCGCCACGAGGCACGGCGACGACGAGCAGCGGCGGCGCCGAACGACGCCGCACGACGCGGGCAGACGGCGGCGAGCACGGACGGCGCCGAAAGGCGACGGCGACGGCGCCGAACGACGCCGAGCGCGAAGCCAGGACGAGGAAAAAAAATTGGGTGAGCATACCTCGAGAACCTCCGAGATCCGGCTGCTCTGGAGGATGTCTCGGGCGCCGCGGCCTTCTCAGAGCGTTTCGGAACGCTCTGAGAGCGTTCTGGAACGCTCTGGGAAAGATGTGTCCTCGTCCTGGCCCCGTCCGACGAGGGCGAGGTGGGGGGGTCCTGAGATCTTGGCGTCTCATTTTTTCCGAGCCGGGCATCTTCGCCAGGTTTTGGGCCCTGGGGCCCTCGCAGATCGATCCGGCCCGGAAAATAACGCAGACAGATGGGGTCTAGGGCTCTGGTCGCGATTTTTCGCCATGTTGAAGTTTTGTCGCTGCGTCGGTCCTCAGGGAAGGCACGACGACGAACGGCGGCGGCGCCGAACGCCGCCGAACGACGACGGACAACGCGGGAAGACGGCGGCGACTACGAAGGACCACGGCGACGACGCCGAACGACGGCGAACGCCGACGACGACGACGACGGCGGCGACGACGACGACTACGACGACGACGACGACGGTGACGGCAGTGACGGTGAAGGACGGCGGTGACGGCGACGGCGGGAAGAGAAGGGAGAGGCAGAGGCAGGGACCTGGTCGAAGGCTGGGCGCGTTGGAGGGCCGGTGTATGGCAGCTTCGCTGACGCACCCTGGTATTGCTCTGCTCCTCCTCCTTCTCTTCCTCCTCCTCTTCCAATTCCTCGTACCACTTCCTCCTCCTCTTCCTCCTCCTCCTCCTCCTCCTCCTCCTCCTCATACCTCCTCCTGCGCTCATCTACGTCCTCCTCCTCCGCTGCTTCCCCTCCTCCTCCTCCTCCTCCTTGCCTCCTCCTCCTTCTCCACTTCCTCTTCTTCCTCGCATCCTCCTCCTCCTCCTCCTCCTTGCCTCCCCCTTGCCTCCCCCTTGCCTCCTCCTTGCCACCCCCTTGCCTCCTCCTTGCCTCCTCCTGGCCTCCTCCGTGCCTCCTCCTTGCCTCCTCCTTGCCTCCTCCTCCTCCGTCTCCTTTTTCTTCTTTTCCTCCTCCTCCTAGGACTCAGTCTGGAGAAGTCTAGTCTGGCGCTCGAGGTGCAGCAGAAGTGCCCAAGCTTCTCCTCAGCCAGGCTTCCCGGAGCAGGACAGCTGCATAGACATGAGCTCTGCGGACCTCCGAAAATGGATGTGTCATTCCATCTCGTTCTCTCTCTCTCTCTCTCTCTTTCTCTCGCTCTCGTGTCCGCACGTTTGCTTGTTGTCCTCTCTCTCTCTCTCTGTGTATTTCTTTCTCTATCTCGCTCTCTATCCCGCCCCTTCTCCCCTTCCCGCCCCCCGACCTGGCTTCTGAATCAAAACGAAGCCTCGGGCGGCCGTTTGGGACGATTCCGGCATCCTCGGAAGTCCTCGACAGGGCGCGATGGAATCCGCCCTGAGCCCCGAAGACCTTCCCATATCCACGACGTCGTTAGACGAGCGCGTTCCACCACTCGCAAAGTGACTACTCGCAAATGGCCTGGATCCGCCGCGGGGGATCTGCGATAAATTACATCGAAGCGGGCATGTGGTTTTTCGGGCGTTTGCGAGTCAGCACCTTGCGAGTAATGGAGCGCGCTCGGTGAGCCGTGACTTGTCCACAGCGTAGCTTCTTCGCGGCCCCGAAGGCCCAGCGACGATCCTGCACGCTGACCCGCATCAGCGCAATCCCGGCTTTGCAGGATCCTGCAGGCTCCGGCGCTCTGGCTGACCCCCGTTCGCACTGCATCCCCGCCCCAAGGCTCCGGACGCGGGCGCCTGCGAGGATGCGCCGCAGGACGGAGGGAGCCGCCCCCTGCTCAGTGCCGGTGCGCGGCTCCTGCCCACGCCCGAGGAGGAAAAACCGCCGCCGCCGCCGCCGTCGTCGTCGACGCCGCCGACGTCGTCGTCGTCGTCGTCGACGCCGTCGTCGCCGCCGTCGTCGTCGTCGTCGTCGTCGTCGTTGTCGCCGTCGTCGTCGTCGTCGCCGTCGTCGTCGTCGTCGTCGTCGTCGCCGCCGTCGCCGTCGTCGTCGTCGTCGTCGTCGTCGCCGCCGTCGCCGTCGCTGTCGTCGTCGTCGTCGTCGTCGTCGTCGTCGTCGTCGTCGTCGTGATGGCCCTCACCGCCGGCGGCGTCGGAGTGAGAAGGGGTGGGAAGGGGTGGGAAGGGGTGGGAGGAGGAGGAGGAGGAGGAGGAGGAGGAGGAGGAGGAGGAGGAGGAGGAGGAGGAAGGGGAGGAGGGGGAAGAAGAGTAAGAGGGAAAGGGGTGTAAGACAAGCTAGATGCGCTCGCGCCTCATCGGACATCCTACCCCTCCCTCCCATCCATTCCCATGGCGCCGAATTTTCTCTATCCGCGTGTCCTAGCCGGCCTGCGACTCCCACAGAAAGACCACTTTGTGCTGTGGGCAATCGGGAAAATGAGATCTGCGTGCACAGGAGGAGGCGGCGGAGGAGGTGGCGGGTGAGCAAGAAGATGATCGGGAGGAAAAGGATGAAGACGAACAACAGCAGCAGGAACTAAAGCGGAAAGATCGGAAGGAAAAGGAAGACCAAGGGAAGGCGGAGGAGGGAAATGAGGGGGGCGACAACGATGAAGAAAAACTCGGATTCGGAAAAGTGGCACGCGCTGGGGCGAGACGAACAGCAGCAAGACTTGGAGTGAAAGCAGCGGGCGGAACAGGAGGACCAGGGGAAGGCGGACGGAGGAGTGGCCCGCGCTGGGGCGAGAGCGCCCTTCTGAACGACAGGCGCACAGCACCAATCTGAAAATGAGGCCCGCGTTGCAGCGGGAACACCATTTTTGACAACAGCCAAAAAAGCAAAAACAACTTTTGAACTCCTCCAAAGAAAACAGCACGTGAAGGGGGCGGGAGGTCTTCTGGGCAACTTCAGGAGAGGAGGGAGAGCAGTTTCCATATGGCTACTTGTAGAGAAAGACGAGGAGGAGGCCATAAGACCGCAGCGTCCGCCGAGATGCCGACACGCGACAAGCAACTGGAAAGCAGTTTAGCCTGGCCGAGAAACCAGTCCTTTCTGGACACGAGGCTGCTATAAACAGGACAACTCAGCACACACGAACACATCAAGGGATAGACAATGCCCCTGAACGCTTCGCCCAAAGAACGGCCGACCACCATGGACGCCCCCAATTCACAAAACTTGGGCCTTCACTGGAGCTCGAACCGTGCGAGGACTGTTCCGAAATGAGCGCGAGACGGCATGCGAACACACTGGGGCTTTCGGTGGACCTCCCGATGGGGCCACGAACCGTGTGGAAGGTATGCCGCAATAAACTCGACACGTCCCGCAAACTCAACCAATTGGGCCTCTGGTGGAGCTCCCTATGGGGCCATGACGCGTGTAAGGGGCATGCCGACATGAACCCGAATCGGCATACGAACGTAGCCACTGGGGCCTTCGGTGGATACCCCTATGGAGCCACGAAGCCTCTGATGGGTGTGCTGCAATGGGCCCGAGACGTGTGCGAACGCATCCATCGGGGCCTCTGGTGGAGCCTAGCAGGGCACGCGACGTGTGAGGGCGTGCCGAACGAAGCCCGAGACGGAATGCAAACGCAGCAACTGGAGCCTTCGGTGGTGGAGCTCCCGACGGGGCCACGAAACGCGTGAGCCGCAATGAAATCGGCCCGTGATGGTACGCAAACGCAACCACTGGAGGTTTCGGTGGAGCCTCAAATGGGGCCACGAGCCGTGTGAGGGGCATGCCCACATGCGCCCGAGACGACACGCCAACGCAGCCACTGGGGCCTTCGGTGGAGCATGGGGCCACGTCACGAACGCGTGAAGGGTGTGGCGAAACGGTGCTTGGGTTATGATGGTGGCAACGGTAATGAAGGTGGTGATTATGAGGATAGTGGCGACGACGAGGATGGTGCTGATGAGAAGGATGAGGCGGGGGGTTGCGAGGAGAAAGAAGAAGGGTGCGGAACACTGCTGGTTCAAAACGAGGGCCCAACACCACAGCACGCTTGGGAAAGCCATGCAAGGGTACGACATACGCTGCGGATCTATAGGACATGTTTCAATGTTTGAAACACCACTGGGCTCTCGAGGGGATCTGTGTGAAAGGTGCGCCGCAATCAGCCAATAAATGCCGCGCCGCATGCCAAGGACCCGAGGCGCCAATGGGCACCCGTCTGGCAGAACCTCGGCCGACCCAGCCAGCGAACGGGGCGCCCACGAGGCGCCCACGAGGCGAAACCTGCCCCGAGGACCCAGCCAGCGCACGCCCGCGCGGCCGCCCACGCGGCCGCCCACCAGGCAAAACTCCAGCGGACCCATCGGATGATTCAGGTACTGCAGGTGCGTGTCGTGACGACCCCGGTGTTGCTTCCTCTGACACCGCGGGGATCATTCACCTTGAACGATCGGCCGTCTCCGAACGTCCGATCGTTCACCATGGACAGATTCCGGGTCGCTGGCGGCGTTCAGCGCTGCATGCTGGCGGCGGCGTCGCCGCCGGCCGTCACGACGCGAACCTGCCGTGATTAACGCGACGTGTCCCAGCACGGCTCCCCCGCAGCGAGCACGCACCGTGGCTACGTGCACCCCGTGTGGGGCAAAAGCTCCGCGCGGCGCGAGCCGTGCGGTGCCGGCGACTCGGTGCGGCCACGGGCGGGCCCCCGCACGGAACCTCGGCGCGCCCCCCCCGGCGGCGCACGGGGCGCCCGCGAGGCGCCCACGAGGCGCGGACCCACCCGGCGAGGCCTCGGCGGCGCACGGCGCGCCCGCGACGCGCGCCCACGGGGCGCCCACGGAGGCGGGCACCCTGGCGAAGCCTCGGCGGGCCCGCCCAGCGCGCACGAGGCGCCCACGGGGCGCCCACGGGCGCGGACGCCGCGCGGGACCTCGGCAGAGCTGCTCGGCGCAGGGCGCCCGCGGGGCGGCCCACGGGCGGCCACCCACCGGGCACGAGCCCACGCCAAAGGCAGCCCGCTCGGATCCCTACTGGTCATCCTGGCGAGCATCCCCTGCAGGGCGAGCACCCACCGGGCACGAGCCCACGCCTAAGGCAGCCCCTTCGGATCCCTACTGGTCATCCTGGCGAGCATCCCCTGCAGGGCGAGCGCTGCCTGGGGAGGTGGCCCCCGAAGCCTGGCCCTGTGCGGGGGAATGGTGCGACGGCTGCACGGCTGGAGGGTGGCGCCTTCATCCCGGAGCAGAAATCGGCGGCGAGCCCAAGGGGGGAAGCGAGCCCTGTGGTCCACCGCCTCCTAAATTTAGGAGCCACGCGAGCGTGTCCTAAAAATAGGAATCACGAACAGGTGCCACGATATCTCAGATAACCGTCAGCTCGTTCCCCACAGCGTGGAAAGCATTTGTTATTGAGTTCCCTGCTTGCGGGATAAGTTTCACCCGCTTTCATGGCATATGCGTGCCATTATTTTGGTTTGTTGCACGCGTTGTACTTCAGACGCGTAGGTGCGCATAAAAATCCTCACGATCCTCCTCGTGCTCCTCCCCTTTGTACACCTTTTCTCCATCTCCTCCTCCTCTTCCTGTCCCTCCTCCTCCTCCTCCTCCGCCTCCTCCTCCTCCTCCTTTTCCTCCTCTTCCTCCTCCTCCTCTCTCCCCCCCCTCCCTCCGTGTTCCTCTCTTGGGCGGCGGGGGGGGGGGCGGTCCTGGAAGTTCTCGAAGGCGCGGCGCCCTCCTCTTCCTCCCTCGCTCCCTCCCTCCTTCGGTCCCTCTTATTCCTACGTTTTCTCGCTATCCTTTTCCGCCTCTTCATCTTTCTTTTCCCTTCACCTTTCACCCCGCCGTCGTCGCCGTCGCCGCCGTCCCCGCACGGGCGCAATTGGAAAACAGGGCGGTTGCAAAGAGGGCATTTGTTCTCTACGATTTTTTTAGCTTCTTCGTTTGCCGATCAATACCGAGCGCTGCCTCAAGCTTATAATAGCACACGCTCTCAAAGCAAAGCTGCGACACATTTTGCAACACGCGCTTCAGCGTTTTGTTTGCCGACTCGTCATCCCATGTACTGTAAGAGGCAGGGTTCCCTAAATCAGCAGCTCGGCGGATCAGATGCCACATCAGATGTCTCTTGGGTGTTGCCAGTTCCACGATATCCAGCGTGTTCTCACAGAAGCATTTGTATCGATCCAGCAACTCCTGGAATAGCACGAAAAGACAATGAGGAGGACGGGGGCGGGAGGATTAGGAGGGGGATCTGGAGGGAGTAACGGGGGGCGATGGGGGAGGAGCACATGGGGGGATGGAAGTGAGGGTGATGAGTAGGGCGAGGAGGACGGGGAGGAGGAGGTGGATGCCAGGATGGCCAACGCGGGGGTGGGAGGGGTGGAAGGAGGAGGGGGGATAAGAAGGATCAGCGGGAGGACCAGGGGGAGGGTGGATCACCAGGGGGCCCAAAAGGGGGGTGGGAACGGGGATGAGGGGGAGGAGAGGGCAGAACGAGGAGTAGGAAAACGATGACGAGGATTGGTTTCGCTACGTGGGCCCCAAGGCCCCTCCAACAAAGAATACGGATAAGAAGAAACGAAATCGCGCAACCGTGTTGACGTCACTTGCGCTGATGAGAGAGAAATCGCACCCCCAAACCAAAGGTTTCACAAGCTGAATGGGCGGGGGGCCGACCGTGCCACCGACGCTGGAGGGAGAGGTCCTGGCAAGCTGCTGGGCCGATGTTCACAGGATTGGTTCTGCACGTAGAGACAAAGCCTAGCAGCGCGTCGATGGCCCGTCGATGACGATCGGTGTCTCGCACTCGCAGCTCGTATTTGGCATGCGCATCTTTCATGAAAACGAGGAGACCATATGTTTCCGCTGCCTTTGTTTTGAGAACTCGCTTGCTGGGATTGCCTA